CACCAGCCTAAGATAACTGACTGGGCACTTAAATTTCTTATTTTCATTCGTATTCACTTTATTTTAACGTTTTTGGTGTCCACTAGTTCAGTGTGTGCAAAGACAATAAAGTTGAAATTCAATTGAGTTATGTTGTTTTGGCTGAATTGAGACTGCTGCCCCCGCGACCCGACCTCGGATAAGCGGAAGTAAATGGATGGATGGATGGATGTATAACATCACAATATATCGTGATTTAATCGTATCGTGACCCATGTATCGTGATACGTATCTATCGTGAGGTCCTTGCCAATACCCACCCCTACTACCTACCTACAGTGGTGTGAAAAAGTGTTTGCCCCCTTCTTCATTTCTTATTTTTTTTGTATGTTTGTCACACATAAATGTTTCAGATCATCAAACAAATTTAAATATTAGACAAAGATGACACAAGTAAACACAAAATGCAGTTTTTAAATGGTGTTCATTATTAAGGGGAAAAAATCCATCAAATTCCTGGAGATATACATCTCAAAGGACCTGAAATGGACTGTTAACACCTCTTACCTGGTGAGGAAAGCTCAACAGAGACTTTTCTTCTTAAGAACACTCAAAAAAGCCAGACTTCCCACTCAGCTCCTTGTTAACTTTTACAGGAGCACAATAGAGAGCATTATCCTACAGTGCTACAGTGTGGTACTCCAGCTGTACTGCAGAGAACCGGGGCGACTTGGCCCGGATAGTTAAGATTGTGCAGAGGATCGTGGGTATCAAGCTCCCAGATCTGAACAATGTTTATGCTAGCCGACTATGTAGGAAGGCTAGCAACATCATCAAGCACCCCACCCACCCGGGTCACAAACTGTTTGTCCCCCTCCCATCAGACAAAAGATTCAGGACCATCCAGTCACGAACAAACAGACTGAGGAACAGTTTTTTCCCGAGAGTAGTGGCCTCCATCACACCCCTTCCCACTACAGAACACTGACCATTAAGTCACTTCCACACCTCTTTATTGCTGCTGATATGCACTTGGTCACTTTAAATCACATTGATTGTTTATTAGGGGTGGAGCCGAACCCGAATACGGTATTCGGAAAGGCACAAATAATGTGTTTTTTTACGAAT